GGGGCGCATAGCCGCATCCACCCTTTGTTTCCAAGTACGAGGGTGCCTCATAGTAAGCCGCCGGGCTTACCATGAGGAACCCTCACGACAGGTTTGATCGATCTGCCCAAACCACGACTTCCTCGGACGTCCTACAGGTCTCCTCCACCTAGGGGTATCTCGAACAGAGACAACCTGGTGGGCAGGGTCAACCAGAGGAAAGCTATCCAGATGGCCGTATGAGTTGGCGATCGTGAATTGTGCAGGAAACAGGTCTTGTGTCAGTCTCACGGTGCAACCGTTAGCTTGACACGTGGTCCCGCCAACAGTACCCCATGATCCGGCGCAAGGACCTATTGCAAAAGGCATCAAGACGTGACTCCAAGGCAAAAGATAATGTCCAGGTTTCACTGCCGTATAGCAAAGCTGGCATTATCGGGGCCTTGAAGACACATTGCGTGGTCCTTCTGCACAGCTACCGGTATCTCCAAATACTCTTGTCGAGAGAGTTCATGACCCCTGCTGCCAGGCCAATCCGTCTGCTGACTTCCTGGTCTGACATCCCAGAGTTATGAACTACACTACCAAGGTATGTAAAGCTCTCTGTGACTTCAATGTCCTCGCCGCAAGCACGTACCGACCGAGCAGGTTCTCCTAGCAAGTCTCCAAAGTCCTGGGACTAGACCCAAGGCTTCGCTTCATTACTAAATGTACCCAGAGCCACCACTAAGGTTCCCAAAGATTCAGATAGAATAGCATCATCAGCAGAATCAAGGTCTGTAACCTTGATATTGTCCAGAGTGGCTCCACAATGACTTTGAACAGTATCTCTACCCAGTGTCCAGTCCATGCAAGTGTTAAAAAGTTTTGGTGTAAGGACCTAACAAGAAAGAAGCTCAATAGCCCCCCCCCTCCACACATACACACTTTAAAGCACTTTCAGTACCGGAATACAGACGCTATTAGTCCAATAATCCTTGCTGGAATTCTTCAGTCTCAGGATCTCTCAGAGTGATTCCCGATGTACCGTACCTTGAAATCGATACAGGCTGTAAGCAGCTCACGCCCGCACTCACGACGGCGCTCTACAATGACTTGAAGCGCAAGGATACTATCTATTGTGGACTTACCAGGAATGAATCCAGATTGCTCCGGCCTCTGGTGCCTCAGTAGGTGGTCTCTGATACGTCTCAGAAGCTGCAGTCCCACCGGTCCCCCTCCCCCTTCCCCTACAATGACCACACCCCTCAACAGGTCAGGGGGAACGGTACCAGACCGCCAGATGGCAACAAGGACAGCATGCAACCCCCGCGCCATGGGTACATCCACCACCTTTAAAAGTTCAACTAGGATGCCGCATATAATAATAATATTAATAGTGATAATTATGACAATAATTATGATAATAATAATAATAGTAGTAAGAATAGTAGTGAAAAATATGATAATGATGATAGTAATGACAACAGTAATAACGATGATGACAATAGAAATAACAATACTAATAAAGATCATAGGATACTTATAATAATGATAATAACAGTTGTGATAATAATAATAGTGATGATGATAACAGTCATAATGATAATAATAATAATGATAATAATAATACAATAATGATGATTATTATGACAATGATAATAATAATAAGAAAAATGTTAATTACCATATAGCAATAATGATGATAATAACAATGATATTGATAATAATGATGACAATAACAATAATAACACTATAAGTAATGATGATAATAATAACAACAATAATGTGAATGTGAATGATAATGATGATGATGATGATAATTATAATAATAGGAAGAAACGCAATATCATCAATAATGATGATGATGATGATGATGATAATAGGAAGAACAGCAATATCAACAACAATAGTAGCAAATGTCTTAATAACTATGAGGGACATATTAAACATATATAGATAAATGAAGATTTGAAAAATAAAGCAGACTTTGATAAAAGACTAAAGAGGAATTCTCACCGAATTGTTATGCATAACTGATCACAGTGATAACAAACAATAATACTAACAACAGTATCAGTAATGGGAAATCAATAACGATAATAATGTTACTGACAGAAATTACGTGATATTTTATATAACCATAATAACAATGAGAAAATGGTTTGAGCAACAGTAACAGTAATGAGTTATAATTTCAGTGATTTTTTGTGATTATGAAAAATTGTATTGTCTATAACAATAGAATGGCAAAATAAGTAATTGTAAAAACAACATTGATGATAATGCAAATAATGGCAATGACAATAATAATAACACTGATGATAACTGATAAGAATGGTTATGAAACACAAATGAAAAACAAAGTCATGATAATAGTAATAAGAATATAATACTAACTGAACAGATGACGAGTATATAACCGAACTTTAAGGGAAAAAATGTAAACAAACAAAGAAATCATATAAAGAAAACAGACATGGGACATGGAAAAGGTCATTTCCGGTTCTCCGAAGTGCTAGAGGATCACGTCATACTCATC